AAACACTTGATCCCAATAACGCAATGGTTAGGAGGCAATGCCGGAGGTGCAACCGTGGAATCCGTAGGCGTCTCGCCAATGATTGCAGATTTCAACCTTAAACGGATTAAGGTATGTCACTTTACCTTATCGAAGAATTACTGTTTGTAAGGCTCCATGACGCCATCCGTAGAAAATACTGGAAAAATGGATGGCGTTATGGTTAGAACCCGTACAAGGTGGATGGAGCATGGAGAGAAACCATCGAAGGCTTTTTTAATCAGGGGAAGCATAACTGTAATAATAGGATTATTAGCAGAATTACTAAGGGAGACGGTACCGATTTAAAGACTTCTGTAGAAATTATTCAGGAGGCCCGGTTTTTTACAAGAAATAATACCCGTATTCAGAACACATGCCAGCCATTTATCTTTGGTCTGTTTTCGACAGTTTAAACCCCTAGTTTTTTTCAAATTTGACTATATAGGGAAAAAAGCGGCCCACTGACTCGTGAGGAAATATTGAAAGTTTTGAGGAATACTGAAAACAGCAAGTCTCCAGGTCCTGGTGGATTTACATTTGAATTATTCCTTTTTTTCTATGATTTATCATGGTTTCTCTTACGATCCCTCAATTTTGGGTACGATTCTGGTAGACTCTCAATCACCTAACTGCTCAGTATCATTACCTTGCTTCTAAAAAGGGATAAACCCTGTCAGTTCCTAAAGAACTGGAGATCCATTTCGTTATCAAATACTTCGTTTAACTTGGCGGACTACTGGATCTTCAGCAGCTTTTCCTTCAACTGCTCCAATGCTTTCAAGTAGCATTGGCAGTGATAAAACAATTTAATTTCGTCTTTGGTGAGATTTGTCAAAAAAATGCCACGAAGCACACCTGTTAAAAACCATGTATTGTAAATATCCAATGGCTTACTAAAGTTTTCGTTCATGCAATTGATCCATTGCTCGCTAATACTTTTCTTCCTCAAGATACTTTAGTTTCTGAATAAGTTATTCATAAGTGGAAATAATAAAAATTCATTTTGTTGAAAAAAAATCATTGATCATTAAATTCAATACATGACCGAAACTTTATAAAGTAAAACATATACAAAATGTCAAAGAGCAATGAATTATGACCGCTCTAACATCTTGTTTCAACTATTCGAAAATTGGTCAATTTCAAGAAAAATCCATTTGCGGCAAAGAGACGGCATAAAAATGCAAGGCGCAAAAATACAATTTGATAGCAGCTATTGCTTGGGGATATTGGATATAATCCGAATTACTCACAGACCACGCGACCTGCCTCGACCATATATCGCGCAAAACACCGGGAAGTGCCAACCGCAAATGGTGTACAAGTTATTGCGTTTCACCAAGTTGGCTAATCGATCAAAGGGGCCAGGCACACACAACCGGCTTTCCACATCGGCACCCTGAGCTAGCTCTCCAACACCTGATCAGCTGGGTGGCCAAGGGCAGAAGGCGAGTCGCCATCGTTCGTGAAACGAGTGCGTAATGGCTTGTTTAATGATCGCTCCCGATGATGCGGTTATACTTAAAAAATCTAAAGACGCATTGAAACGCGGTAATCGTTTCTTGGTAGCGAGTGGACTGTGTAACGAAGTGAGAAGGTGGGAGGTCTGCGAGTCGTTTCATGAGCTTTGATGCAAAGAGAAAAAACGCATTCATGCAAGGTGTGGTTTCATTCGAAAGTAAATACACAGCACGTGCATCTTCATATGTCTTTAAGTAGATATCCTCAACATGACACAACGTTTTGAAGAAGAACTCATTTGATCATACAAAAAAAACAGACAGGTAGAGTTTGAGTTTCGACGTTCACTTTTTCAACGGAATGTCAACATTGCACCTCAACAGATAAGGTGAGGCTTATCGAATGTATAATGGATGTACGCACACATCGAACTGCCTTTGCTCCGGTCATTGGCCCTGCGGGGAATGCTTTTGCATGCAAGCTGTTTAAATATGCAGTTTAACAGATTTTTTTTCAGTCAAACGCTAACTGGGTTTAGCTTGCATGCATAAAAGGTATTGCTAGTGCTGTAATGGAACTATATAAATCCATTGTTTCATTAATGTCAAATTCCGAAGAGGTGACTACATGTACTTGCATTCAGATTGTCGTTGTGATTTACTGCCGAGGAGATTAACATTTAAAATTTGGCGAAGTAAATCACCTGTCCAAAATGACCATTCCATTCTGTATACCCAGTGGTCATTGTCTTTTTCCAATGGTATGGCCTGAATGCAATAACGATGTGGACATTTATGGACAGATGAGCGCCTCTCCAGACGCCGGAAAAAGGTGAGAACATCCTACAAAGAAATACAACAACTTTGCCAGACAGTGCTAGCTCTAAGACCGGACAGAACACTGTGCCCTGTTCAGCTGAGTCACCTGCATAATATAGTCGATATTTCGCTTCAACTCGTAACGCAGACACGTTTAGTTGAAGACGAGATTTTACAAACCAACATTCGCACGTCTGATTTCAATGCTCCTATAAAAATGTGACCATCCTAAGTCCCCTCCCCGTGAGTTTTCATACCAGTTGTACAACTGGATTGATTGTGCATGTGTATGCAATCGAGAGAATAATACCCGAAAGAATTGAAGAAATTAACTTCTTCGATTCTTAGCTTTAAAAAGTGGGGTCAATAGTCAATAATCACCCTTAATATAGTTTAATGTTCCCACCTGATCCAAAAACTTCGAATTAACCGCTTCGAATCTGTTCCCTCTTAAACTATGAATACATTGACTCATATAGCTACGGAAATCCCGCGATGGAAGAATTTCTTTGCCACAAGTTATCCCCATATTCTGACTTAGGTACTCGGAAAGCTGAACTTCGGAAACTTTTGAAAGCGGATTTCTCGCAAATTCACCGGACAAAAGCTCGACTCAGACCAACTGGCCTCTGGTGGGCCAAAGGCCGTACTGGATTCAGAAATTCTGTGCCAAATTGAGAAATTACAGGTGTAAGTACGGGTACATACTCATAGGCGTGCAATTTCGATGATCTGCCCGGTATTTTGTGAATTTAGGGAAAAGTGTGGGTCTTGTCTTTGGATGAAACATAACATAGCACTTATTTTGGGCAACTGTGGAATCGAAAGATTTGCAGATACTAAGAAACCAAATTCGACCAATCAGCTGTTATCTTCATGATTAATTAGTCATGCTACAACTTGTATTTAGCAAACAGGGCCTAAGCTTGGACGGGGGATTAAACAAGACTCCCTTAGATACGTCATAATGTTTAATCCCAACAGTCCTGAATCCTCCAATTTTAATACAATTTTGCACACACCCTAGGGAGTTAAGGTTAATATTATGGAACTGCTGAATATGAAGTTATATCTTCATTCGCCGAAAAGTACCATGTATATATTTTTCCAGTAATAATCGCCCTTAGATGTGAATGGCCTCTTAACTCCTGAAGGTGACATTAGAACCTACAGTTTGTCACCGTGACTACTGGCAGGTGCGGCCTTTACGTTTGTATTATACTAGTCGGTAGAGAAATGAGGACGTCGTTTTGACACAATGGGGACATTTGACACAACGGTCCTTTTTGTTTGATGTGGGCATGCGCGCGCAGTTCTAGGCATGCGTGTTAGTTCTGAACACGCGCACAACCATAGAAAAGGACTGGTGTGTCTGCCGCCACCATGCGTCTCAAAGTCTCCCATTAATTTGAGGTAGAGAGTAATTTGCCAATCAGCTCACCGCATGCAGTGAGGATGGTTGTGATCTATTTACCAAGAACACACGCTATCTGGAATAAAAAAAAATGCATTCCTCATATTTCATGTCGGTGGTGACACTTCATATGTTCTCCAGGCAAACAATCTGGCATTCAAATGCCCCAGTTTAATCGATAGTCTTCAGGCCTGGTTGGTTTTGACCAATGGGCATGAACAATGCACCTTGGAGGAGCTATACTGTGGACTGGGAGCCGTAATTCAGTGAATCTCGCAAACTGACTCGGGACCACGGACCAATTAGGCTGGCTGGTCACCTGACGAGCTGTGGGCTGTCACACCCAAGGCAAGAGGACTTTAAACCCTGGGATTTAAATTGATGCTGTCTCCAGCACGTACGTACAGTTGAGACAATTACAATGCTACAGTCGAATTAAATTAAGGAACAAACTCTTGAGAGGCGTGGCGTGGCAGAGTGACGTACATTCCGTGACACAAAGTTGAAGGCGGGTTTTTCTTTGAGTGGGGCATTGAAAATCTGGCACATATTAGACCGAAAACAATTGCAACCAAGAATGCGAAGTACGAAAAATTATCGCAGTATTTAGTGCCTGCTTCAGAAGAGCATGAGGGATTGTGTCAATCATTGAATACTGAGTCGAGCCGGTGTTATGATGACGTACTGCACCATACATGTTTGTTCTGGTAGGCCTACTGGCTGCTACACAGAAACGTGAAACAGTCGTTTATGGGCGGGTGGCAATCGGCGTGAGGCCGAGGAAAAGCACCCGACACCTCCTCTAATTGGATGAATTGGTCAGCGAAGCGGGATTGAGACCAACCACAGCTCGAATTACTCGCAGTCAAGTTCAACGACCGGCTGTCGTGCTTTCGCATTTCGCTATCTCGACGTTTTTTGTCATACGAAAACTTAGAGAGAGGTTTTCCTGGAAAGTGATTATTGTTGTTTTCCTCGAAAGTGATTATTCTTTTCAGTTGGTTCAAGGCTATGTGGTGTGTCAGTGGATGGAATGTGCTTTCACTTGCGAAAGTTTATTGGACTTTGGGTAAAAGATCATTTTGTCCGGGGCCAAGGTGTGAACAATGTGGAATAGCTAGTGCTGCAGACACTTGTTTTCTGAAAGGTTTGTTTTATCATCCTGTTACTTTTTAAAAACGTCTTGAAAGATAAGTACTTCTAGCCACCATCGGTGTAAAGAAGGTACATTCAGGTTTGGCAAAGCTCCTTTAAATGCCTTAAGTTCATTTCGGGGAATTGCAGAGACGGTTATTCATGTCATTAGCTGACCTTTGTACTCTATCAAATCAGTGGGCGATACTGCACAATTGGGCCTGGAAGGATGAGAGAGTCACGATTGGAAAAACGTGTGCAAATCCAGTGGGGGATCCGTGACCCTACACTGACGTACATGTACTTAAGAGCAACGTACAATTTGAATTCCTCTTCGAAATAAAAGCCTGGCCAGCGATGATAGAATAGATTGTATGAAGACTTTTACAACTAGTAAAATCAATCGATCTACGATTTTAAATCTCGTTTATGTCCATCGGTAACCCAGCAAAATGCGCACCACTGCAAAGGTTCATTACAGTCGGGTGGCACAGAAAAGCCTCCACGACTTGTCCTCGCAACTGTGACGAAAAGCATGGTGTGACTTCATCCGGATGTGTCAACAATTAAAGAATTGATGCAAACCGTAGATTACAGACTATACTTGTAAAGCCCGAGTAAGCAATCTTCGATATATAAGTCCAACCCAATGACCCCAAAAAGCAGATAGTCACCAGTTTTTCCAAAGGGACGGAGTTCGAGGCACTCTGTATTTGTCTCAGTACAGGTTTTTGTTCCATCGCCTCTCAGCGTGCGTGGGATGATGCTAGTCAAAAGCATTTTGCTTTGTCTCTCAGCCATACAAACTGTACAAGCTTCGAGCGGTAAGTACATTCAGCCTTGTCAGTTTCTCACAGTCTTTACTAAATTTTGTTTACGATTTTTTTTTAGCCAGAACTACGAAATAATGATCGTTCCGTATAACCTTGTACCCCAGGTGCATACACATAATACGCAATAACGGTTTTCCGTCAGGCTGTCATGCATACATAAACGATTCATATCCTTGCCCTTCGTCGGCTTCCCCTGAACGGTCTTGAGGGAGCAATAGCCCACAGTCACACGTCCCATCAACGGAATCCACGGCATTGAAAATTTTCAACATTCTTATTTCATTATTAAATTGGATGACAACACACCATGCATTTTATGAGTGAAACTCTGGGAGAAATAACAAAGTGTACCAGGGACAGGGTGAAAAAATTGTCTCATTCTTGAGTTAACTCGTAGGTACGACTCATACGTCGTATATAAACTTGCATCTCGTACCTACCACTAATTCATACCTGCGAAGTATATACAATGTACGGACAATTTGTATCTCATATATACGAATTATATCTCGTACGGATGAGTGAAAACTTATATTAAACTCGTACGTTTGAGATTAAGCCGTAGGTATATGAGATATGGGTTGTGGTGTATAAAATATCATTCACCTTTAGACCGCTTTGAGATTGCCCACAATTCGTATTTGGGCTGCCTGGTGTCAGATTTATCTAAAAAATATGATTTTTCCCATTACTTATTTTCATATGAGTTCAGGAGTAGTCTTTATTTTGGTCTTTTAATAGCTGCGCAAGATCTTTTTTCAGATTTCTTGCATTATTATCATTTTTGTACTGACGGCTTTCCATAGTCTTACCGACCATTTGTGGGCAAAAATACCATGTGTCGTTAAAAATGCTCTTGTGTGGATTCATAATGTGGTAGTCGATTCGGCGCCTGATCGTGGGGTGGTGGTGGTCATGATTGGTGGTGGTGTGGGGTTGGTGGTTAAAGCTGTGATGGCCTGATCAATGGTATTACCGAATTACTCGCAAGAATCCGAAAATACAAATATATGGATTATCTTTATCTCACCGAGATCTGAATTCGCCGTACACAATCACGTAACATATTACAGAGCTTTTTGATAGGCTACAGATTAAAATAGCTTGTAATCTGTAAAGCATGCGATTTGTTTTGTTGCGGCCACCTGTTTTTCATTAATCACTGCGTAACAGGCGTGATAATTATTTCAAAGAATGGAAAAATCTGGGCACAAAAGAGGGCAAGCTGTAAGGAGGAGACCACGAGAAGCAATTACGGTTTTAGAGGTGGGAAGAAAACCCCAGAGGACTATTCTGGGTAACTCCCACGGAATCAGGTAGGGACTGAAAACTCAATCCACATGTGGACCTGACTAAAAAGTTAAACCGTCATTCAACCCATTAAGCAATGCCACAGTTCATATAAAAATACACAAATCAAATCAAAGGGACGGAAGGTGAAACAATTTGCAGCACGAAATACACGTTGAAATTACAAACATCGTACAATTATGAGATACCACTGTTCCTTGCTGTTGTGCTAAATCAGATTACCTGAAGAAAGTTTCCTATCCAGGTGTTACTATTGGAAGAACGTTGGAATAAAGTAAACTATGGACGAGGTTGTTGGATTTACGCCCCTAGTCCGTGTACAAAACACTATGACATCACACAAAGCCATAAAAATGCAAATCAAAGCGTGCGTTTGTTTTCTATCTGAGCTAACGTATAGAACTTTTTCTTCCATAATCAGGACAGAAAATAGATGGGTTGAATTCAGTTTTAAAATACGTTGTACCCTTTTAGTATTTTGATAATACATGCATATTATCAGTGTGAGACTGTGATATTAACAAAATAATTATGTGTGAGTGTCACGCTTAATGCGTGAGAGTTGGTAGCCTTCTGACCGTTTAAATGAAAGCTATCGAGTTGCGTTTCTTTTTGTCAACGATAGGCTTATTTTTGGACGAGTGCCCAGTGTTCACACAGCGTAACACTGATTCCAATGACTTAGGTGACGTCACTGGGACGCCCGCCTATGATCTGGTGGCCAGTCAAGTTCAGTTTGGTTACCTACCGAACCAGCAGTATGAATGTAAGTTCGATTGCCAAACTAAAGTGTAATTTCAGTATTATTTGACACAATTTTCACGCAGCTTTCAATGGGTGGAAACTCAAACCCACTTCTGTCGTTTGGTTTTCCTTGATCTCTCATACGAAACCCCTATAGTGCCATCGAGTATATAATGGTACTACAGGACTTTCATACTGTCATGAAGTGCCGTCGTTGTAATGTTTGGGCAGTCAATATGAAGTTAGGGAATTCTCTGTAAATAAATCACAGGAGTGTCATTAAGGTAACGCAAACTCTCCACCCCATGAAAGCTGCGTAAAACACTCTTCTCTACTCTCAGACCATTTTTTGTTTTGCGAACTTGGCCCACTTTTTTCCAAGAAAATAAAACGTACTGTATATAAACGTACATGTACTGTATAACAAAAATTGAACATCGATTAGAGTTTGTATTTTTTAAATGACTGCTTAATTAGTAATTAATATATACTTAAATTTGTTAGATTTTGAACTGAAAGGCAGACGTATGCTTGAATAAAGTAAAACGTAAATCAAGTGTAATTCCATTACCCATGTTTTGAGCTCATTTTACATACTCATCTCCACGTAATGACCACAGGGTTCCGGTGTTGTGCTCCCGGGTAATGGTGACAACACCCCCTACTTTTTTTTCAGAATAAAATACATGATTAATAAGGTCGGGTTATAACTTTTCATTCTTTGGTCTGGATCGATCAAATATAAACGAAAACATTCGGATGCGTTAACCAGGGGATCTCCCTCAAATTTCTTATTCATGAACAAGAAATTTTAGATGAGGCAAACGTAAAATCCACATTGCTATACTCAGAAAAAACCTGACGCCTGCAGTTGAATCTTCAGTGTCATAACGAGTTGGTGATGAGTTCCTTTTTGGTAGAACTAGTTAATTCTTCTTCCAGAAGACCATTTATTGAGGGTTTAGCGGTAGTCTGTAAGATATCGAACTAAACATATATGGCTGCATAGCTAAAATAGTATTAGGTTTATAAATCAATCTTTGTGTCCTCTGTCAGAGTTATATGGATCTTTCATTACAGTAAAACTTAGCTCATTGCATTATACTTAGCTTGGAAATGACAGAACACCCTGTTTTGAATAATAACGTTAAATACAAGTTACAGTTATGGATGGGCTCAGGAAAAGCTTTTATTCAATGTCTCTAGGCCTTTTATCTCTAAAAGTGCAAGTTCAGAAATTCAAGTGGCCCCAACTCTCTATGATCATAGAATTCAATTCCAAATGTAATGCCACAGACAGGACTCTAAACAAGATAGGCCGCTTCATGTCATGTAAATTCAAAACACGGTTTCCTCGTGTAAATAAAAGACTCTGGCGTGGTCCATCGGTGACACCTGGCTGACACATCGTTGTGACTTCAGTGGTGATAGGAGACTTCAGACAACGTCAGTGTTTTATAAATTATAAATGACTCTCAGCGTTCATGATGCTCTGATGAACGTAACTGAGAACCGTGCCAACAACAGTTATTTGTGAGAAAGAAAGTTGCAAGTTCAACAAACATGTCCTTCTGATATTTTACTGTCGCATGGCACACCTGGTGCACGTGTACGTACCTTATCAGTAAAAAAAAAAACTCGATTAAAAAGGGAACCTGTCCAAAACGTTTAAGACCTAATCAGGAGAATGAACACCGATCATATTCTGAGCTGCTGGCGCAGGCTTCGTAAACGGCCGGTCAAGACCGACCGACCAAGTCACCGTTTACACGAAGAGCCACACAATAATGTAGATTTCAAAGAAATGGCCGAGAAGCTTCTCCTATATAAAACTGCAGAAACACTAATATGTTTATGTTATACCAACAAGTTTATGCAGTAAAAACCCTCAAATGATTCTGTGAGAGTTAAACTTTTGCTTGGTTCAAGTAATTAAAATGAACATAGTGGTTGAATAGCCGAAATCAACTAGTAAAGATGAGCGTTCGTCCGTGTCACCCAAGAATCCATATTTTCCTACTTTTTGGCCCTTTCGTACAATGTAATTTTCATAGGGAAGAGCACACGCAATCACGCCCGCGCCACTGTTAATGTAACAAAGGTGTGTGGCTCTTTGTGAAAATGAAAATCTGACTTGGCCTACTTTTCGGTCTTTCCATATTTTACGTTTTGTGCGTGTACGAAGAGCATTCAGATTTGTGTCTCTTCGTGAAACACAAAATGCGCTTATCGAGACGTGCGGCTCGTCGTGAAAACAGTGACGATTTATTCCCATTCAGAAATACTTTTTGAGTCAGAAAGTGTAAACAACCTTTAAAATTACATAAGTATTTCCAACTACTTCATTAAAAAAAACCCCTCCAGCTATGTTATAGTTTGTGTCTCTTGCGAGTACTGCAGCTCCTATCCATCTCCTTATATGAAGGCCCATGCTGTGTGGGTGGCGCTGGCGCATAACGTCATGGAGCAATGCAGTGTAAATTTGGCACTGGCATTGCCAAATCAACATTTGGGGTAGTAATCAAAATCAGTAGCACTGTGCAAACGCGAGTGAAGATTGTGAACGTTCAACCTATATAAGGGAAAAGGAACCAATTGTGTTAAAACGCCCTTTTTGATAAGGACACTAAAGCTAGAATGTGGTCGTGCGGACAGAAGACTTTAAAAGGCTGAAGAGTCAGCCGCCAAACGACACGATATGCTCACTAAGCAGAGCTAAAAATTGTGTTGATTTAAGCGGATGGGGTTAAACCAGAGGGCCCAGAGTAAACCCCTCGTGGCACGGAGCAAACCAGCGAACAACCCCGCTTATTATGGCCTAGGCAGGAGATATTGAACGCAGAACACAAGTGATGAGAGCACGGTGAGCGCTTCACACACTGGTACCCGCGCAACCTATGCCACCATTTTCGAATCTCCGTTGAAGCAAACTTTACTTTACAATGCGATCGTCATACTTGCAGTGAGGATCGAAGCAAGCAACCAAGCCCGCCCGTTCTCCAGATTTATCTTAAAGTCCGATAATTCTGACAAAACCTGTGAGGATGTAACCCTGGTTCCCAGCTCTGGAAACGTCAGATACCTTGAGGACTGTCCGGGAGTCTTGGTGTCCGACCGGCCTCAGCAAGCAAGCAATGCTTCCTTTCACTGGGAATCACCGTCTTGCGGCTGTGTCATATTCAGGTATTAATTTCTTTTATATAGGACGATTGGGCATTTGCTCGTTTTTGGGTGACGTTTTTCCATCTCCCAAGTTTCGACTATCCTGGATCTCAAAATGATGTTCCTGTCGGCAAGGGTAGATCCAAACCAGAAATGGACTTTGTATGATAGGCTTCTCAACATTAATAATGTAAATTAATAACGTGACCAGTTTAAAATATCCAAGCTGGCCGCTTTCCAGTGAAGGTACTTCAGTGAGTAATGAACGATACAGACACCTTGCTATCCAGATCATTGGATCTGCCGCCAAAAACGGAGTAGACATTAATATGTCAAAATTTATGCTACAAATTAGGTCTGAAAAGGAGGCCGTTTTGAGGTCCAAGATGGCGGCAACGATATTAGCAAAAAAAATGCCAGTGGAATTCGAGTTCAAGGTCAAATACATGCACATCGAGATATTTGAAAATTTCCATCGACAGGAAACCAAAAGGCGCCAGCCAATAATACCTAGTTTTCCACTCATGTATTTTTTGTGTAAATATTAAGAATTACTGAGTCTTGAGTTGCCTTGTGATTATGTAAGAGTCTGTATTGAGGTGTTAAATTTAATAGCTAACATAATTTAAAAGTCATTTGTGTCAGACTGCTCAAATTGTCATTGCTCCTGATTTAGAGAAACTTTCTTATTATATCCTGGAGAATGGAATCAAAGATTAGACCTGGCTGATCTTTCTTAAACTTGATCCAAATAGAAAGGAACTAAGAACCGTGAAACTGATATTGTCAGAGACTATTAATCGTGGAAAGGAAATGTTTATCAACTGAAAGAAATAATTCATTTTTTTCCCACAAAGAGCGATCGTCTTTGATGATACAACATCTCAGTCTACAAATCTTCAGCTCACTGTCTGCCCTTACTCGCCGGATTTAGACAACTATCTAAATAGTGAGTTTCTTCATAACTTTCGTCTGCTTTTCCTGTTCGTCTGTTTTCTTAGTCTATGTCCTACATTGTAATAGCTGCAGTTCAACCATCCCCAATGACTGGTTGCTAGGTTGCATCCGGTTGGTTCAGGCTAATGTCCATTTTCTATCATCTCTATTTTGTCAACATTACACGCACCCTCGTTTTACGCTTAAAAACCTCTCTCCAAAATTTCCCCCCACGTTAAGCTCTGCTGCACGAAATCGACCCGGAAGGTTACAACTTCACGAATGAGCGAGACAGCAATTTTGAGAACGAGTACGATGACGGCTTATTTGAAGGTATGTCAAAACAAGGGAGTTGTGTAGTCGATTTAAATGAACCATTTTCTAGTAAATAAGTTTCGACAGACTGTAAGCCATCCCCCGTCTGATTTGCTTTAAAATGAAATGGGGAAAACTGGCAGTGAAACTCGGAATTTCCATCAGTTCCAAGACTTGTTGAACATGATTGTCATATTAACAGTAAGAGGTCATATTCTAAAGAAGCAAAACATTCATTGAAGTATTGTCACTTTGTCCCCTGAAATAAAAAATGAGGATCAAAGAGAAAAAAAAGAGTGAAAAGCAAGGGAAACAGGGACTGGGAAGATAAATGCTAGCTCTCATCGAGTGTGAAATGGCGCCCTCCCACTGTTGATGGTGTATCAGTTTGTTGCTGTTGAATGCTTCCCCAAAGATATGCCCCCCCCCGTGACTCTCGCGTTGCGCGACTGATGAGCAGGGATACTAGCTGTTAAGCACATTATAGTCTGAGAAAATCCAAAACATCGAGTATCTCTCGACCTGAATTTGAAATAGTTTTTACAAAATTTCACTTTGTCATGTCATGGCACAAATGCAACACGAGTAGTTTATCTACTAAGGAATTTGTCCCCTAAAATTGATCTCGTAGATAGCCTCTACTTTGTGATTTTCAACTTTGGATATTGGGAATAAAATCATGGGACCTTTATTCCTATAAATTCTGAGCCAGACGAAGATTTCGACGAAGGAATAACAGACGTCAACTACTCGGACAAGCATCCAGTTGTTGGCGATCCAAAGATATTGTGTCAAGAATTCCAAGATCTTCGAGGCGCAGGCATGAGCCCTCTCCTTCGTCGTCGATGGTGGCGCTGTTGTAAACGAGCAGGTGCGTATGAGGCCCGGACTGATTCAACTGGCTACAGATGGTGGAAATAACACATGAGATGCACTTGAATGGAAATGGTTGCTAACGATTGGCTTTCATAGGTTCACATGCTGTGTGCAGTCGTAGTCAAATTACTCAGAAACGACCTAATCTTGCACTGGCACAGTTGTAGATTGAGTGAGGGCGCTGTATTTCAGGTATGTCAAAGCACCATGTAGGCCTAGTCCATGTCAATCACTCCAATCCCAGTCGTCAAGCGCCACCTTACATGCGTTAAACAGCGAGCAATTTTCCTGCTGTTGGACACATCATTGCCTGAATGGCGTTACTCAGTTCAAAGAAAAAAGAGGAAGAAGGAAAAAAAAAAACAAAACAAACAAACAAACAAAAAACTCAGTGCACTTCTTGTTTGCTAACTCAGTGTATCACTGGTCACTTTTGGTTGCACCTACAGTACTGTTATTAGAAAGAAGTTACAGATTTTGGCAGCAGTTTCCACCTTTTAATGGCGCAAGATATATTGCTTTTAGTGATAACTTAATCCTGACATTTCTGGTGCAGTTTTGATTGCATACTGTATTCTGTTGTATTGAACACAGTCAGTGTTAGGATCAGAGAAACAATTCCCGAGTCCATCTGTGACGAAAAATACACCTGATGGAACATTAAGAAACAAAGAAGTGTACTGGTGTTAATCTTAAGTTAAAAAAATTGCTGTATATTCTGAGGACGAGCATCAAAAACTCCTGATTTAGTAAACAGACGTGTATTAATAAACCCCTGCGACTAGGGGCATCTGTTCAGAATTTGGGTTTGCGATATCCAGAATATCTGTGAATCAGTAACCATTTATAATATCTAAGTGATTGTTAAATTTCTCAATGTTTTCTAGGAGGTAAGCTCAAGAGATGTATTGCCAGGACCATACCAGCTTACGCAAGAACGAAGCTGCGAGTATGTAGCGTTTGCCAAGCATTCAAAAGAAAAGCAATGACATCATCGCCTTCAGAGATGTCAGCGATGACAACGGTTTTCAGCGCAGGTAGTTGCTGCAGAATAAAAAGGCCAAATCGACAAGTCCGGTGTTTTCAAAAAGTCAAAATGCAATCAATAGATAAGTTCTGTGATGGTCTGATTCAAGCCCCGTTTTTCCTGCCAAAGTCAGTGAGGAAACAGTTCCAACAGTCTGGTTTGTCGAAGACGCAGTATATCCACCCTTGCTGTGCAGATGAAGGGAAGTACCGCTACGACTGCTTTTCACGGGAACACGAAGAAGGTGCCGCCAGCCAAAAAAACCCTCTGATACTCACCGCCAGCCCTGGCGAACGTCTCTGTGCTCTCGCAAAGAGAAAGGAGGCAAAGTTTCCTGGTCTTAGGAGTTGCTGTAAAGTTGAAGATATACACAATAAGGTGATGTGCCTTGGGAGGGTTGTTCGAGCAGGTTTCGATGATAAATGCCAGAGGAGGCAATTTTGGGCCCGGAAAAAGTCGGCCTTAGGACAGGGTGTTATAGGAAAGCGAATCACAGAGTGTTGTGAAGCCACAGGCGAGGCGCGGTTTCAATGTTTCGTAACATCTGGTGATAAGCTGACGACATCCCAGGTTCAAAGTGAGATCAGTGTGATCCTGAGAGTAACATTTGGGGAGAAAAATGCTGCAAGTCATGAAGTGTCATCAAAGAAGGAATCATATGCATCCGAATCTCCGCCTGGAACCAAAGAGTCTGATGTGTCGGGCGACGCCTTTGCTGAACCTCAAGATGGCACTAATGAGGACAAGCAGTTCAAATTCTCTCTGTTTTCAGCTGAAGTGAAAGATGCAAAGAGTCAAAACAAGAGGCACTGCCAAGAAGGAGGAAGAGACATACGAAGAACCCGTCATGAGTTACGCATCTTGAATCGTCTCTGTGGAAACCGCAGCACAAACACCAGCAATGACGAAGAGCTTGACACAAGAAATCATCTAGTCAAGTGTTGTGCATTCAGTGGTCGGGCCCAAAGAATGAAGTGTTTGCGTTCTGCAAGGGATGAAAAATACGCCGCCACCTGCCGGGGGGAACTCACCCCACTAGCTGTCCGGCTTGGTGGTGCTGTTGGAGACGACAATCCATGCTGTAGAGAAGAGGAGCGCGAGGAACGATCGTGTTGTTTTAAGGAGCTCCTGAGGACCAAGGAGAAGCTGCTTGATCGTCGAGCACCAATGCTTGCTCACATTGAAAGCCTCACGAGTGATTCCCGCCGACAGGTAGAACCGACAAGAATGGACAGATTGTGTACAGCAATGGAAGGACTTCCAAAGAAAGATTTCAATGACACAGTCTTCCAATGTTGCAGGAACGAGGGCAAAAGAAGGTACCGCTGTTTGACGCAGTTTTCCCGGGCTTACGTAGACAAGGTCTGCTCCGGGCAAGACATGGACACTGCATACCAGATTGGATATTTGGGAGAGATCCGGGATCTCAATTTAGAACATGCATGCTGCCAACTTGAAGGGCGGGAGAGATACCGCTGTGTTCTTTCAGCAGACAAAAATCACGGAGAGCCTAATGACATCAACGTCCAAAGCCGAGAGCGCACTCCAAAGACCCTTAAACATAAACGTCACCGGAAGAGAGTCGGCAGTTGGCTGAGTAGTGCAAAGAGGGAGATATGCAAACGCGTGGACGAATTCTACAGCGAGGATCTTCTACAGGTCCTCAACGTTTTGCAAAGTGCACTTCCACCTCACCATGAAGTCAAGGAAGCATTGGGAGAGGAAGCAAAAGACCAAGACATTGGAGAGGACAGCCAAGACGGCCAGAAAGAACGAACAAAACCTAGAAAGTGGAAACCAAAGACTCCAAGTAAAAAGAAAACGCGAAACGGTGGAGACCATCACAGCAGAGACATGAACAGTGAAGAGGAATCGACAGATGAAAACAGGCGACTGAACAACAAGGACATCCTTGGTAGAGACCTGGACAGAACAGAGATGGGAGACAGAGTGCAAGAGTTTTCAGAGGACAGGGTCAGGGAACGTCAGGGCCACAAAGGGAAGAAAGGTGACAGAAGTAAAGAAAGCAGAAGAGGCATAAAATGGCTTGATACAGGTCATACAAGAGGGGAAGGAAGACGCTGGGTAAAAGAGTCTTGGGAAGGTAGGGACATAGATCATGAAGAGGAGGGGACAAGACAAAAAGGCTTGGATCGTCTGAAAAGTCACTATGACAGGGAAAGGGAAAGTGGAAGGCCTGCTAGACGTCAAAACAGGACCTCTGAAAGATATGGATCAGATGAATCCTACTATGATACATTGGGAGAACCTGAAGAAGTCGACAGGAAGGGGCCTAGAAGGCACGGGGGTCGTCGCAGATATTTCCGTTGGTATGAGAGAAAGAACACCACCGGAAGTGCACTTTTCAATGATTCATCCGCTGTTTTCGGGGGTCTAGCCTCTTGTTGCCAGCTTGATGGGCGTAAGTTCAGTAGCTGCCTGAAGACCTTGCAACACACCTTACTTGATCGACTGTGCGACCCTGAAATCTACATTGAAATGGGGAACTTTAGCCACACAGCTAGAAAGATCGACCACTGTTGCCTGCTGCAGGATAAGCACCGATCCAAATGTTTCTTCAAAGAGAAACATTACGACGACTGGGAAGAAGAACAACCGGGCCCGCCTGACGTTGTCACGTGGCAAGAAGAGATTCGGTTCGGAGCAGATGGTGAAACGCAAAAATTTGCAGAAGATGACGATCGATCAGGTCACCAAAATATACTAAAGGGAAAGGGTGCTGAGGGTGCTAAACGTGCCAGGAGAAGTGCAAGTTGGAGGGTACCGGGAGTGACCAGTGGTGAGTGGGACAGGATTCCTCGTCTTCCAAATGACAAGACCAGACGTAGAAAGCACCGGCGCGGTAAGAGGGCAAGGCACCATGGCCTGTGGAGCGATCGACGTATAGGGGCAGTGTGCGTTAATGTTGTGGGCAGCGCAGCTCTCGGGGCATTCGGTGACTTTCTGGATACAGATAACAGTAACGTGAACTCAGAAGGTAAGCATCGCTCTCATTGGCCAAATTTCATAAAGACTGCGTGAACAACATTTCACTGACACATACACAGAAAACACTCCATTAGAATTACAGTCATCAACAGAATACCAACTGTAACCATTTTTGACAAAATGCACCACAGAACAGCCAGATTGGACGCCAGTCTTTATTATACGACTGACGTAGTTTGGCCAGGGAGTCCAGCTGGGCCACACAAAACTATGACTTTTAAACTTTTTGGGTTCCTTGATCGCCCGAACTCTAATGACAGGCATCGTGGCCGCATTTTTTCAAGCTAAATGTACTTGTATACTTCATTATTTCCAGCGCTTATATATCTTTGGAGTGCAATCGGCACAGCCATTTCGGATACAAATGCGTGAGTTATGAATTCAACCCCAATCATTAATTATTTACAGAACAGGGACAGCACGTCACCATACAGGACGTGGGGGAGTCACTCCGTGACTGTTGTGTCATGGTAAACGAGGTGGAGCGGATAGACTGTGTTAAACGGATCAGGAGCCGCCTTGCTGACCAAAAGTGTACAGGAATCGGAAAGTCAGGAAGGTAATACTTCAATTTCTCCATAGAAATGGCATAGATTGTTATCCCTCGTGTTTTCCAGATCAATACTTTGTAAAACAAAATTTTTAACAAGGATTTGAATTCTCTCTTCACCTTTCAATAAGGACTTAATTTGATGTGTTTTGGCTGCTTTTCTTTGTCTAGGTTTTGCCCGCTCTTTTTTAGAACGTTGGATTCTAGCTTAATTGAATTGACACAAACTCGGGTACATCTTTTAGTTGTTCCAAGATTACATCGGTCCAGAGGTGACAAATCTGTCAGAATCGCTTCTCTCCAAGCACATGTATATGATCTTGCTTGAAGAGTTAGCCCGAATTTTTTCTTGTATTGCTAATATTTGTAGCGCTATAAACAATTTTAAGTGGAAATGTGCACTTCATAGAAATTCTTAAATATTATTATTTAACTTCAAAAGTGGCATCGTAATTTGAATCCAAAGTTGCCCATTCTCCAAGTAAATTGGCGATATGTAGTGACGGGCATATCGGAATGATTCATATATAAGAACATGTAAGTATCAGTGGAGCTCATTTTGAGTGGTTTGTAAAGTGGTTCGAAAAGTGCTAACCATACTATCACGAGGTTGATATAGCATTCCTCAATTTCATAGAGTCCTGTGGTGGTTTTAGTCTGATAGGTTTCGCTGCTATGACACACGTGTAACAATGACTCCAAGGCGCAAGAGGAAGAGAAGCGAGTGTGTATCCAGCACTGACGGTGTTGACTACTGTCGATGTTTCACGTAGCCCAAACCCATGCACCTTAATGAATGGAGCAAAGGCATGCACTCGGGCGTAGGGTAACAGCAAGAGCGTCATAGACTCGGGACTCCATGTTCGTGTAACAATGGGAAATAGTCCGAGAATAGACTCGGAACTGTAGATTCGTGCAAGACTGGGCCCGGCTTCGCCTTGCCTGTTCTTAGCACAAATCTACAGTTCCTCGTCCATTCTCCTACACATAATTCCAGGTAATTGTAGACAATGTGTGTAGTGCTGTATGGCGTAGTCTCGCTGTACACGTGTTCGAATGCTTCTGGACAGATACACTGTGCTTTATTAGAGATACACAGTCTAATGTAACCATCATGAAATACTTTCGCGTTTGGTTACAACAGTGGCCCACAGAGGCGCCATCTTCCATTCCCGGCGTCCTGTTGTGACGTCACGGACGAGGACAGATACAGCTGCGTGAATGGGGAGCGACCGCGTACAACGTTTCATAAGGTACGTCTTGCTAGCAGCAACGTGCACCACTGAAATGCGAGGAGCGTATGTTTGATTTCCTGCATGCTGAACCAATAATTCGCGGCTGGCAAAGATGCATTACGTCGACCCTATGGTGACAATTGAAGACAATCCTGCCAATGCAAAGTTTATTCACTTCAACGAAAAAACAGGCTACTCCTTCATTATCGAAACAGTGCAATCACTTTCTTTCTCGATTTAAATAGAGCGCCATTGAACGGGCCACGTTCTGTCACAGTAATGTTCCAGAATGTTTCTTTTCCATATTTCCGTAGTTGGTAACCCAGAAACATGTGATCATAAACGTTTCAATTTAATTTGTCGTGTGTGAAAACAGAAACAATCCTCCCGCCCGAGATCAGACTTCGAGGAGCGCAGTGGTGACTTATGGCTAGCACAAGCAGCGCCCTCTGCCGACGAGAAAGAGCCTCGCCACGACATCGTGGATCCTGTCGAGTTTCGTAGCGCGGTAGTGTTTGGCTCGACCGATGATCGGAGGGGGGACTCACCACGCGGTTAAAGGTAAATATAGGGTCTTTTCTTCCTGTGTCACAGTCATATTTTGCCCGTACATGACTGTTAAGTCCATGCAAACTAATGGCTGGCCACCAGTCGTCAGTAAACAGCAAAACATATTACAAATCCAGTTTGGCTGTATCAATACACCAAGTAGTGAACACAACTATTCGAAACGAATACACAACCCTCTTCAAAAGTACATGAGGCAAAATTAATGTGCATTTAGTGGTAAAAATCTTAAATCAATCGAGGGTAGTATTTCCGCAAACCTAAGCGGCCCGTAGAGGTATGTGCTAACGCGTCCTCAGAGGGAAAAAGTTTTGTATCACTGGGTTAGGTTGAGTAAACCTTGTGTGCATTTGCTGTAGGCCCCTAACTCAGTCAAAAACAACAAAACCAGTCTCTGAGTCTGAGACACCATAGAGACGCCAGCAACGCATAATGCGAGAGAAGTCTATACGCTGGTGAACAAAAAAGTAAAGTTTTGTGACTTTAACATTGAGAGACCATAGACTTCCCTGTTGCCAGTGACGTAGCTAGGATTTTACTGGTGGGGGGGGTGGGCACCAGCATCTCGGGGGACACCAGCTTTCAGTGGTGTTTTTTTGGGGGGGGGCATGCTTTTGTTAGCCTTGCTCAATATCCATTCCTCCGTTTTTTTCAGTGGGGGGGCACCTGGGGGGCACCGGGAATTTGTGGTGGGGGGGGGGCACGTGCCGCTTTGGCTACGACATAGATTATTCACGATTTGCTTGTCGAATGATTTGAGAAGTTTCAATGTTGCACACTAAAGCATTGGTACAGGTCATTTATACAGAATGGTAACACTCTGGAACAGAAATAAAACTCATTGAAAGTTCCAAACAGTTGATGTCAGCGCACACTTTTAGAATTAATTACGTTGATTTATTTTTGTTAGGGAAAATCATGTGCTGATGTTTTAAGTCCACTAAAAGGGCTCTTATCGGATTTGGGGCAAAGAGTTTGTTCTCGATTGTGCAAGTTTGTACATCGGTGGATCGAGCCGAAATTTCTTTTTTCAGTAAATCAGAGTCCGCGCCTAGAATTTCTGGACAGTTCCGAATATGCTTACAGAGGAAAAAAGGCAGAGCACAGAACACCTTCAACAAGGGTTTTATTAAGGAGAGGCTGCATTTGTATCATTTATAGTAGTCAAAGTGTGGAGATGGAAATTGTTCTCAAACCACTGCCTGGCGATATTGATTTCAGAAACCAATTAAGAGTACAATGATATCTTCTTGCAGGCGAATGCACGGTAGCAGGTGTGACATATTAATTTAACATAATTTAACATTAGCAACCGAAATCGTAGTTTGCACGCACATGCTTTGTTGTTCCATGGGGGAAGGACACAGAAGGAGTTTGAACTGCCCGGGCTGTAACATCTGGCCAATTACCGCTTTCTGGCATGCCTGGCATGTCCATAGCCAGAGTGCAGCAAACGCTTGATACGCGCCATCTGTTTCACAAGCACGAAACCCCTGTGTACCCTATGATTGTGCCGCCGCAATTTGTCGATGGTAATCTGCATCCTTAAAACTTCGTGTACTGCGGTATAGGAAATTGAATATTCATGCCTATGCTGGTGCTTGGTATGATCTCATGACAGCATCAAATTTAATGCTTGCGCAGTTGCTTGCATTACGCTGTGTCTTTCCTCTATGGTTGCCCCAAATTTATTCATTTGGCTAGCTTAACATTTGAGGCAAAATTGCAACTTTCCTGACCCGATCCACTCGGCATGTTTGGCCAAGTTGGAAACTATTAACTTTTCCACATGCATATGTAGATTATTTGTTTGAATTTTAAGAGGGGGTTGGTTACATTTCCTTCTCGATTTTACGATTGGAATTTTACAAATTGGTTTAAATATACTCAAAGAAATGCAAGAGTCTATTAAGTAAAGAAAGGCCACCGAATCCACTTGACAGGGGCACAAAAGTAAAACAAACCAAACTTATACAACCGGAATCATGACCCAGTCTGTGGACAGACCCACCCCCCCACGTCACGGGCCATTCTCCAGGGGAGTTGCCGTTGAATTTAATTGCTGACTCCAAGAGATCCTAATCAGGTCCCAGGGAGCGGTTCATTGTACCAAGGCGGCCCCCTGGCCTTCCTCGTATCGCGGAGATTTCGTTACTGACGGAACTGCGCGGGAAACTCGTTCGCCGCTTGGGAATTGCGTGGGGACTCCGGTTCGCTCATTACGTGGTCCGTATCGGAACGGAGGATCGACCCTTCTTCCCTCTGAAACTGACGTCCCATCATAGTTTCTGTGTCCTTCAAGGCTAACAATTAAGGTGTATATATATAAATAAAACAGACACAACTTTTTCGGACTAAGTGGAAATGTTTTTTGCTCGACTTTTTTATTTACGTCTTCTGTTATTAAAAGCTATCGTGCTTTTCATGGGGTCTAATCGATTAAGACTTATTATTATTATTGTTTATTATTGATGTTCAAATATTATTGTTTATTAATTAAAAAAAACTGTTTCTAAGCTTCTCATACAAAGCATTAAATTTCGACACCAAACGCAAGACTATAACTATTGATTCGTCTTGAGGGGACTAAAAGCCAATGAATTGCCTTTAATTCCATTTAATGAAACGAACAGACATCTGTTCTTATTCAATACGAGTGAACCCTTCAGCATTTTGAAATACGTATGGGCTGCATGCGAGACATAGACTCTGGATCTAATGTTTATTTCAGATGATTAATTTATCTTGACATATATCATCGAATTTGCTTCTTATTTTTATATCCCCACAGACAGTTATCGCTGAGGCTGAGACAGTAATCTGGCGAGGTATATTCAAAGGAGGGGATCATTCTGAGGCAGAATGGAACAGATAACGGGTTTTTTTTCTCTGGGTTTTTTGTTATTTTTAAGAGTGATGAGTGTTACTGTTGATTATTATAACGGTCTAGAGATACAGTTTAGCGTCATGTTTATTGTGACATCATTGGATCACCACTGGTATATCAGCTGCCTTTGATAAATTTCATGTCTTGTCCTGCAGTCAGTTGTGTTATGTGTAAATCACACCAAAGCGATGGCATCACCGATAAATACAAAAGCCCATTAGTGCCATGGCAAGTATGTGTTTGTAGTTCGTCATTACGGATTATTAATTCGATATTACGAATTATTAATTCGATATTACGGATTGTTAATTCGTAATTACGGATTATTAATTCGTTTTTACGGATTATTCATTTCGTTGTTACGTATTTCTCAGGCATTCCTGCAAGTGGTACAACGAGAGTGTGAGCGGTTTATTCGATGCTACTTCCTTCTTGTTCTAGAAGGAAACAAACACTCTGTCGAAAATTGCGAAATCTTGGTCTCTTATCATAAGAGCTGATCTTGGAACTGCAAACAATCACATCCGACAAATGCAGCAGTTTCTTAGAGGGGATCATGAAGATTCGTTTGCTTAAGACAAGAGTTTCATGTAGGGAACCAGTCAAAACCACCAAAGGATTGAGTGTTGGTGGAACATGCTTAGAAAACACTTCACTCGATTTTGGATGTTTATTTCTGATGACCAACAGCAGGGAACATCTCTTCAGAATTACATCTGGCCAGGGACACTCAGTTCCAGCGAGTAGACTGGTTGTGGAAATCCTAGTGTAGCGCCTCTTGGCGCCAGAGTCAGTCACTCTAGTTAACCCAGTTTTAAATTTTCTTTTTTCCTTTAATTTTTTTTTGTAGTAATAATTTTCTTGATTTTGTTTGTAGAATTAAATAGATGTACCTACGGTCAACATAAATTAATGGTCCTGTGTTTTATCATTTTGTCAATTTATTTCTTTCATCTTCACTGTCGTCCTCCATGGGAAGGACAGACCCAATGAATAAATAGTTGCAGCAAAGACATTAGGTGATGCCTGTATACTTTGAATTAGCTAAATTTAACAAGGCACTTAAATGTACATGTAAAAAAACAGATATGTTGCAGAAAACTTGCTGCTGTTTTTAAGGAAAACAGTCACAATGAAGATGTATGGCTGAACTGGACAATGTCTATATTTTTGACAATTTTATAACATATAATTTGTAATATATAATTTATGTTCTCAAAATTAACTTCAATCTATGTTTCACAGATTCGGAATCTTTGAAACATATCCTCATTTTATTTGAGAAACCATTTACAGTAAAACTGTTCCTGTATGATACTTGTATGATTCTCAGATCATCAATAATTTTTGGATGCAACAAAAGAAAAATACATGTATCTTTCAAAAGTACGATAAAATTCAGTCTTTTATACCTTTTGGGGTTAAAACCAAAGGACCAAGCTAACGATAAAAGGCATATAATAACTTAATAAACAGTGGTGAACAGAGTATTGCTTTTATCAACAGCCACTCTATATTAGCAATATCTATAAATGTATTTTTGCAACAAGAAACCACTACTTAAAGATTTCAGAACAAAAAACTGCAACAAGTAGTTTCCATTCTTTTCCTTTGATAGATTTTGATAATCTATTTAACCGTCCATCACCCAAGCCTCACTTTGTAAGATTTTGTTAAATTCACGTCGCAAATCAACAAAACTTTCGTATGTTGCGGGCACCTCCAACACATTTCCACATGTGACTGAGTGGTCTTTTTTCAAAACCTGTCGATTGAGTAAATGTCACATTGATAACATTCACTGGAAGTACACCAGATCAAATAAAATAATCCGTAATAACGAATTAATAATCCGTAATGACTAATTAATAATCCGTAATGACTAATTAATAATCCGTAATACTGAAATAAATAATCCGTAATAACGAATAAATAATCTGTAATAACGAATTATGAGCACATACTTGCCATGGCACTAATGGGCTTTCGTAGATAAATGAGCGAACAGCGCAAATATAGTGAGAACAAGTACAAAGTCATCATAATAATCAGCTTATATTTGGTAGGTGGCACACCTGTTTTTAAACAACAGCGCGATACTGTAAAATGTGTATGCTGATTTTGTCGACAAAGACGGCATGTGTTGTGCAGTATTAGGCCTAAAGCAAAAATCTCTTAAAGTGCATGCTCATCGTTCCTCAAATAATTTATAAGATGTTTTATCGATGTATTCTACCTACTCAAACTTGTTAAGTTTACCACATGGGAAGACAATACGTCAAAAAACACCCCATCACAAGCGAATGCGGTCAGTAGGGAATTTTAATCACATCCTTCATTAATTACGAAAGCCCGGACAAGCTGACCTTAACAACCCCCAGTGGGTTTATTTTGTCAGCCAGTTCTGTTGATTTCAAGCGCTGACATTTTGGGAGGTGTTTTATAGAAAACACACCATTTTGCTTGCCTTGTCAACCAATGATTAGTTTCGTTAACATGTTGGTATTTTCTTTAGACTTAAAGTGTATCCTTTGGCTTTTTGTATGACTTTTCATTATACACTTTTATCTGTGACAAATAAACTGAGATGCATTGCGTGCTGTTTTGATTAGTGATCGCTTTAAATGGCAAGATTTAAGTTCAGGAATTTTAAAACGGTCTTGGTATGGAGAGTACGAAATATTTGAAGGAAAGTATTACCACAGTATTGCGGAATAACCCTTATCATGACTTTTTAAGTCTTCCTAACTCGTTTATTAAAGGGATAGATGTTTTAATGGAGTTTGAATTTGCCTTCATCATTATGAGGAACAATCCCTAAGAATTCGTTTATCAGTCTGAATAACATTTACCACTTCATCCATTCCTTTAAGCTAACGTTAAAGGCACTTTACAATGTATTCAGATGATGCATGCAGAGATGTCAATCAAATCACCACTACACCACAAAGCTAATTGCAGTCATAGTGGAATTTAATAGTTAGTAATTTTGTCAATTTACTGATCATTTCGAGCAAAAAATGTATTTAAAGTTATGTATCAAAAGTTCTACTTCACATAGGATTCTGTCCGATAGCATCAATGCAGAGGTGCCTAAAACGACGGAGGGGGCCTAGAAAATTGTGACTGTAGTCTTTTTAACAGCCGTATTGATACACAATGACAAGAACAACTATACGTTAAGAAGGGCAGTTGAGCTGCAAAGACAGAGTAAGAAAAGTGGCTCGTTTATGTTTCTCGACGGTGTTGGGCGCAAACCAGCACATTTTGCCACAAAGTTGCCGTAGTTTTTCGTTCCTAAAATGAATTACTGAAAGCGTGTTTGGGTATCTAGTGTCGGCTGTTGCGTGTGGGTGCTTTCCACTCATGAAACCCTAACTCCCAAGGGTGTATGTAAAGTTATATTGAAATCGGAGGGTTTGGGACTGTTAGGGTAGGTATGAAAGGACCCGCTACTGAGAAGCGGCCCGACTAGTGTTGCCGTTTGATTAAAACCCCACAAGAGTTAGAAATCGTCATTTTTACCACAGCTGCAATAAAAGAAAAACTTTCACTTGTCATTATATTTGAATTCAAATGATCTGATAGGCTACAGGAGTTTGGCTTCGCAGATTGCCGTGGACAGCAACTTGCCATAGTTCAGCACTAAAAAGGGTAGGTGGTTTTCGAGTGTGAAGAAACTTACATGGAAGACTCAAGGGATTCACGTTTCACACGGAATCCATGTCTGGCAAAGCAGGCAGCGTGCCCTACCTTAAGCTGCGCACACTGTGTGTACTGTCCAGTATAGTTCCTGCTACCGCGCCATATTCCCTCAGCAAACATATATTTGTCAAACCCATGGCTCGACAGAGCGAAAATGTATATTTCTATCAATTCCAGTGGCCGAATTAAGACATTGTGGTGCCGGTATTCTCGGGGGGAATGGATCACTGTGGACGCGGGGTTTGTGTGCTCGTCAGGGGTGCAGGGGTGGGCAGTGCCAGTCTGGCCGGCGACGGGCTCTTTTTGCGTGGGCGGTCGAACGCTGGCGGTTTTTCAAAAGTAAAACAGGCTCACTATGTCTTTCCATCAACCTTCTTCGGCTTAGAGCACAAAAGAACACAACAGGTAACCTTCTTATCAAAGACGCCGTCGGAACAGCAACCAGACTGACGCAAGTAAAATCACAGTCCCAACAAGGACAAAGGCAACAGTGCAGCGGAAAAGGATGTCTCCCCAACTTCGCAGAAAAAAAATCGACAGGAAATCTACTTTATGTTCAATTCTCTGCTGAAGTTTAGTATCGAAATTACCCATCAATTGATTAGTGCAGGTCGATTCCATTTCCTTTCACCAGGCTTGTCAATCAGAAGAGCCATTCTACTGCGCTCTTTATCTTGGTTTTTACATTCGATGCTTTCCTCGGTCAACGAAATGTCAAGACCTCAAGCTATGATCGTGGGGACAAACACGATATCTGTACGGGGAAGTACAAATATGGTCAGGTTTTTGTCACAGTGTGTGGTTATTAAGTGCAATTCATTATAGTGATGGAAACTTAGTTTACAGGAATAATATTATGAAGGGAGCAGTTCAGTTTAAGGTATTTTTAAAAAATGGTGTAGAGGGTGCAAGGGTAGAATAATTTCACAGGCATTGAATATACCATAAAGATGAAAGCAATTGTTTGATTCGTTGAAAAATCACTAACTCTACGAACAAAAACAAACACAACAACATGAAACAACAACATGATTTCACAATCAGAGTGAAACTGGCCCAACAAAGAGGAAGACAAGATTTCATTCCTGATCATTCAACTTGTATTTGTAAGACATCAACTAAGAATCATGAAATGAGTGCTCAAGTCGGAATGATCGCTGAAAATCATTTAAAATAGGGGAAAAAATTAGTGGAAGGTCTGTGGCCTAGCCGGTTTTTCGCATTGAAAATTCTTGTCCAATGGTGAGAGCCGACCACGAGTGCGGGTCCGATTTGGAACGACTAATTGGAATTGGTTGCGAGGACGGATCTGGTTTCACACACACAAAAAACCGCCAGCAGGACTCGTCCAGACGCTGTACCGATACGATCCGCGCCCGGTCTTGTCTCTTAAGCCTGGTGGTACGAGAGTGGGGGACGAGTGGAGGTGAATTCGACCGCCCGTAATAGACTTAAAACCCGGCTGAACTATTGATTAACGTTAGACAACCCGCTTGAATATCCATGAATGACAGCGATGGAGACCCCGTATCTCGGCAGGGCGCACGATATTGCGGCCAGTGGTGCACCTCGAAAGGGCAAGCGCTTTTTCTGATGACGATGTACTCGACGTCGAGTATTTACTGCTTGCTTTTCATATTTGTTTTTCTCTGCTTCGAACCTTAAGTGAATCGTAGTCATCAATGCTGTTCTAGAAAGAGCAAATGCATGGCGTCGAGGAAAAAAAGGACAAAGACATGTTCACCTTAAACATTGAAAACAAAGCTTGAACGGAAATCTGTACCAATCATTTGGTTGACAGTCAAAGCAAAATTTGAACCCGTTAATACTTGGAGGCACTTAATCAGGAATTTCACCCGGCAAGATATCCAAAACAATGGATAAAGAAAACCCGGGCTGTAGATTCTTTGATTGATCACACACATGATCATGAAAGGGCTGAATAAAAGTAAGTTTCAGGGACTTGATCTACTGAATACCAAAGGAAATTGTAGAAGAGGCGCAGCCTCTTATTCAAGACGTGTTAGTTTATCTTAGTTTTGTTTTATTTTTTATTTGAATGAAAAAATACTCGCTTATGTGAAATTTGTTGCCTACATAAACCTACGAACAGAACCATTAATTTTCCCAAGACAAGCTATGAGCTCTGTTTGGGCAAATAGGCCTACATTATCTTCTCAGAGTAGAGTCCAAATGGATTTAACGCGCCAGGCAAGACAAAAGCACACACAAATTCAAAGAAGACTTTATCACGCTGACCGTGGGGCGACGGTGTATCTACAGGGTTTTCGTCCTTGACGTCTGTAAAGGATCAGATAAAAATGAGTTTCTATTTCCTGGAAGAGGTGTACCAGTTAAAAATACGATTAAAAGACGTGGGTTCAACGTGCGAATGCCAGTCAGTACACGCTGCCATTAAAAAAAAAAAGGGTATTATGTTTATATGTTTTCCCAGCCAAGTTTGTCAGCTGAATAGCAAAATTTGACACAGAAACGAATACTCTTACATAATATTAGATGAAGCTCAAAATATATGCTTTTGAATTTCCTAAAAAACCTTCCAGATTCAATAGAGAGAATGCAGAACCTTAAGTTCTAATTTTGAAAGTGTAAAACACTTTCACGTTCGCATTAGCACTCCATGGGGTAAGTTAACTCGAATGGTCAGGTAAGCTTTTTTGGCGTGCGATTTTGTCACAAGACATGATTTCGATGGTTTAATTTTACTGTTGTAGTCCGTATGGTTCCTGATGTAGATCAACGGTCGCACAATGCTATTGAGAAATGCATCAGGTTCATTGCGTGTACACATTCACAAAAATTGTTTTCTCTTTTAAGCCGAGACTCTGAGAAAGGCACTATAAACTATTCATGGTTTGAAACCAATGGCGTATCCGGGGAGGGGGACCGCACCTAAGGCTTTTGATTTTTTTTCTCCCCATAAATAATTAGACCAAAGCTGCATTCGCTTTTAAATTTGCTCCCCCCCCCGTCGCTGTTTGAAACTAATCAGAAGCAAGAGTTTTTAGCAAATCCGATATTGGATTGATGCACTAATGAGACGAAAGCTTGGACCCAGCAGGAAAGTGAACATATGGGCGTCATTCTGTCACAGCATCACTGTTGAACAAGCTGGCTATTTCCTGTCCACCTCCACCCAGCTAATGCCTTCTCATCTGGTTTTAAGTGGCCGTGTGGGGTCCAACAGGTTTAGAAACAGCCAATTTCTAATACACAGAGTTAATGACAGATGCAGTGTACCATTTATGTTACATTTAGTTTTGTTTGACTTGTGTTATTAGCATAGTATAACTATCAACGTAAACGGATGCATGCACAACATGAAGCATGACATGTAACTGAAGGCATGATGGTGAAAACGTCCATCGCAATTTTGCCCACAAAAAAAGAAACCCGTGAAAAGAGACTTTAAAAACACAAAACAGTCTAACTATATCCAAATGGCTAACATTTAAAACCAGCTGTGGAAAAACTGAAGTAGTTTGACGAATTTGGTAGTGAGAACCTTTGAATTTTCGTGTTAAAATCGTTTAAACCTATCTAACCAAGCCTGTACATCTGTACAACTAACGAGTTGACTTAAACTACCAAGTAAAAGCCTGTCATTAATTAATCAAAGCCTACAGCGTGGTCAGTTCCCTCTTCCTTTTGTTAATCGCCCCTTATGTCGACACAAGTTCTGTTTTTGATTTCAGCAAAACACTCAACTCTCAAAACGTTTGGATACACGAACAGTTTATTTGAGCGAGTCACCACCCACTACCTGAAAATAAAGAACGAAGGAAAGGAAAAAAACCCGCCCTAAGTTTGTCACAGAAATTTTTTTTACTAACGGTCACTCCTGACAGTTGACGAACTGGCTGTGAGTGAGATTTTATAGCGTTCTCATTTACAAGTTAATGCTGGCATTTACACCAAGGAATCAAAAGAACCGACGGGAAAATCACTACTTTTAGACAAGTCAAAAATGTGGCTGAGAAATTTCAGTAATGAGGTTTAATGATCGCATGTTTTCAGGGTGAATCTTGAACCTCCCTACTATTTTGTGCAGCAGTATATATGATGGAATTAAAGCAGCAATGAAAACCTTATCGTAGTTAGCATTTGTCAATTATCGTAATGCTTTTGAAACTCACCAAAAACTAAACATTAAATGGAGACTACCTTTTTTCAAATTGAAAAAAATTATTTTGGAAGACAGTCTATTTTACAGATAAAAGGAATCGGAAATCTTTTCTCAACAAATACGGATATATGTTCTAAATTTTGTTATCTCTTGGAAGGGTATGTCAAATAAACCTAAATTAAACTAAGTGGTAATTATTTTTTAGAACCAAGCGACTGTATATTATATAGGAAATAAAATTGTGTATACTTGTGATGACCTATGAAACTGCAGAATATTACATTTTCACGAAATCGTCTCATAATAGTTTTCCTAATTTGGAAAATAATGCGCAACCCTTTCAGGTAATGAAAGAGGACGAGGAAAAAAAATAATCATCCATGCACTGGGGACAATTTGTCCTGGTTTGTGGGCCGAAAATGCCAAAAGGGTCTTCAGTCTTATGTTTCCGAGTCATGTTGTAACCTAAAGAGAGTAGTGCGTGAGGAAATGAATTACTGGAGTCGAAAGGAAGAGGTATGTGAGACGAGATACGCATCGAGCAAAAGTGAATAACCTATTAAATCACACCTTAATCGCCGGAGGATCAGGTTTCCAGTATTATCGTCAAAAGGTTTCCAGATTTTTTTATATTCTGGCTGGCATTACCACTGCTTCTTGAGAAAAGAAGTATTGATATAACCATCGGCATTTGACCTTCTAGCTTCAATTTCTCTTCTTTTTTTGGGGGGGGCTTTCTTTTATCAGTGATTTTCCAACTCTTCACGACATTTGCGGATAGTTTGACATTTTGTAAATGAAAAGGAAGTGTAAAATAATGTATATTGAAATCCAGCTTCGTGTAACAAGTTGAGTACTTTTTGGATTAATGACAACAAGACATCAGGGCTTAGCCAATTAATTTTTTCTTAAAGTGAAACATTTGAATCTCATTTTTCCCACTCAGCAATAATTCAATAATCAAGTTTGGACTTTTTTTTCCTTTGTTTTTGGAAGACGATTTGGAAAAAAATAGCCCGTTGTTTTAGAAACCGCAAAAAATAACTAGCATGTACATGAAGGCCCATGTGAATGACAAGATTTGTACAGTATTCAAGGGAAAGCTTGTACGCTACGTTTTTGCAAATTTTAGATGGCTTAAGGAAGACATAAAATGTAAACCTTGTTCCCTTGGCCACCTGTGCATCTTACATATTTTTTGGCAAAGACTAGAACATTTCCTCATTTGCATATGATTTCTAATGCTTTGAAAAACATTACGGATATAGATGATCCTTAGTGTGTTTATGTCGGTATATGTGGATTTGTTGGAGTTGTAGGGACAGTTTTGGAATGAAGAACTAGATAAACTGACTATAGAATTGTAAGCTCACTGGAGCTGTGTAGAACGTTAGGTTGGCGTCTGAAGAAACCGGCGAGGGGAACAATGCAAAGAACAGCAGGGGTTTGAGCCCTTCGGTCAAATCCCGCGTACGAACGGAGGGCACTGGGCAACATTGATTACGTCTCGGTATAGAAAATGGAAGTGTAAGTGTGCAAGTCAGGCGCGGTTCTAGAGCCATTTTGTTGGGGGGGGGCTTGTCATCTGTTTACTGTCGGTACTGCTCTTTCACTTTAGGAGTAAAAACAAACTTTTTTTCATTTTTGGGGGATAGACAATGGGGGGGGGGTCCTAAAGTCACTGCCCCCCCCCCAGACCGTGCCTGTTGCAAGTGCCCCAGCCAGGATTATCTTTTTGGATTTTCACCTCTGAGGAAACTCTGTGCTCAGATCCAATCTGTTCCACAAAAGCGTGTAAGTCACATCACCGTAGTGCAACCAGCTCTCATTCATTCAACGTAGATACTCTTTGTATAACCTCCGTCGATTTGAGCGACCGAACTCCTAAATTCACAATAGCAGATGCACATGAACGGAATCCTCAAACAGTAGACAAAAGTATAGAGTAGGCCTACCAAATCAGTAAATCTGAAGAGATTATCTCAAAAATTCTTCAATTGAGATCTCATTTCTCGTAATATCCCCAAATAAGTGATTCTTCGCAAGCCCTTGGTTATGGTAAAATGATCTCGTTTCCTTTTCCCAAAATGTGACGCCCGAAAAATCATTTATGTCAAAGGCTCTGTCCATTCTCGTTGTATTTGCTCCTTTTTTGTACAACTGGGGTGCTATTTAGGAAGGCACTTTGGCGAAGGATAGTGCAGAGGCCAGCGTAAAAATAAAATCACACCCAGCCAACAAGTCAATAGTATCAAAGAAAAAATAACAAGCCAAATGGCAAATATGCAAACTACAGTTTATTTGATTCTTGAGAAATAATTAGCAAAAATTCCCGTTTGTAAGGAATTACCAAATGGTGAAAATACACTTTGGAGCAGATGAAAATCTATAAGGTAAGTTTTGCTGTCTCTCCAGTTAGCCAAAGTTATCAAAAATCATACATTGTCCTCTTTCCATCATTTGCAAAAAGAAATGTTGAAACGAAGCGACGGGTTTTTATTCGCGCAAAAATGTCGCCCGAACGGATCTGATCAAACACGGATACCGATTACCAGTCAGAAAACCACACAGACTGATCTGGAAGGGCAGCTAGCTAATAATACTTCCAGCCATCGGTTGCCAAGAGAAATTAATCAAGAAAAAAAAAGGAGCAGAGAAGAAGACAGGGGAAACGATAATGCAAGGCGCCAAAATGTGATTTGCGTCACGTTGAGACCTACGCACGTATACGACGCGCAGACGATAGAGTGACGTGTCATCGACGAGGCAGTGATTTCTCCCACCGAACTTACTGGCTGTGTGGCCAGGGGAAAAAAGTGAGCACTGCCGAAGCCCGTCCTTCCCTGTCCTGCGGCGGTCTGCTGGCTGGGGCGGGGGGGAAAAAGTCAAAATCCGTCGGGATCGCCAAAGCAGTGACGCATATTCATCCAAGGGAACTTGAGGATCATTGATTGGACTTGGCACAGGTTCTTTGTTTTTGCTGGAAGTCATTAGTATAAATTGGGGGGGAGCTTCGTTTTGTCAGCACCACTAAAGTTAGAGACTAGAGGCAGGCGCTTGTGTTTGTGTGTCTCGCAAACTAGTTTATGATTTGATAGTGCTTCAGGTCTACCGAAGTCTCCTTTGATAACAAGTCTTTCTTTCTGAAAAGGTGAGTTAAGTTACTAATTTAGATTTATGGTATCTTGTCTCATTTATAATTTGTATTCAATAGGCTCATGTAAACCACAGAGTTCATGTAAACCACAGAGCAAGGTGGATGTACGTGTATTTGTTGATACCTCATTTCTATCCCTGTTACGCTGATTTTATCCTGTACTCCTCTGAACAGGCATTAATGCTGTTAGCATGAAAACAGGCTATGAAGAAGTATTCTATGACGTTTACAAGCAAGAAATCCATGTCAAAATAGTTATGCCATACGTGTAGCGTTGATACTGTTGCATCGTCGGGTTTGTTTCGTATTCTGATTTATACTCGACCCATCCCCGCCAGGTACTGTCCAATTATGGCAAACAACACACGGGCCATGCACAGCAGTATTAAAAGGGGTTTGCACGGCTGGCACCTTGTAGGCCAGTGCTTTTGTTCCATAGGGTATGCACCAAGGCGGTTTCCCTGAGGAGCAAAACACCTGCCCTGCAACACGGCTACCATGCAAAGACTTTAGAGGACTTTAAAGAAAGAGCTTGAAAACTGCTTTCGCTGGTTTGAACGTACATACCCCAAGCCAAAGATCTATTAAAGAAATGGTGCTCAGGCTCCTGGAAGCGCTTAGTCCCTTCTAGGAAGGCTGCCCGCCCAATGACATCGGGGTAGCCTATTCCAGATGTTGTTAGCAGCCCGGAGAAGGAAACGCCTGCCATAATCCAGCCAGATCTGATCTCTTCTCACTCCAGGAAGGAGAATTGCAATAATAACGATCATGACTTTGGTAACGGGACTTTCCTAAAGCTTACGCCACTTACGGGTGATTTGAACGCACTGCGAGGCTCTATGTTTATATTGCTTTTTTTCCCAATAGGATATATCTTTTCGGTATATCTTTTATATCTTTTCGGTTCTGTTTGCGTCATCGTCATCTCCGAAATGCCGAATGTTTTTTTTCTCTGATTCTGTCACGACCAGTGGTGTAAACGGATGAATTTTTAGGGGGCACTGGGGGCCCTTTCATGGATGGGGTACGTTAGGATCGGAACTATTTTGTTCTTTAGGACTGAAACGCGGAAAGATAAAACACTTACCAAGGCGCCTATCTCCAGATTTTGTTCCTTCTCTTATTTTCTGAGGAGGGGGGGACGGTTCTCAAGCGAGGGGCTTTCGCTTTTTTCACGAACGGCCAGCTTAAATTGCACTTGGATTTACACCGCGATGTGTACATTTTGTTCGTGAAGTTTGTTCAAGACCAGAGCAGAAAATGACGCATCTTCCAGCCATTATCCGAACAGGTGGACGCATAAAATTGACAAATGAGGCTTAATTTCCGTCCGTTTCAATATCAGACGGTGTCAATTTAATAATCCTACCAGTAAAATGTTTTGGGGAATATAGTAATGATACGCAACGAATGTTAGATGGGTGGCTCTTAGGAGACAACGGCGAGTATTCTTTGTTCCGTTATAACTTGCCAGTGAACTGCATAATTCCCCTCTCTGAAGGATTACACAGCCGGTCACTTTGCAAGAGTAGGCTATGCACCACTTGAAAAATTTAATAACTGCTTGACAACCAGACACACTGGTTGTCCGGTTGACTGCCAGAAACACATGAATAAGTACATGAAATATTTTCTTGTCATGTATCAGATTATTACGGTACTACTTTTACAAAAAAAAAAAAAACCGAAAGTGGACTTCTTTTTTTAGTTTCAGCTCTACGAGCGTGCTTCTAATAATCATTTATTGAAAAGGCTTTACCGACTGAGTGGAACGTTTCTTAGTGTACTTGCACGGAAAAAAGTTAACCACAGAACTACTCATGATGTTTAATAACAAAACCACATCTAATAACTTTGAAGAAAAAACAGAAAAAAAAACAGCGCCAGTAAGGTGGATGAGTTTTGTCAACCACGCTTACAGACAGTTAATCATAAAATATTCAAGCATAAAAGTGCATCTCCCCCCAAAAGCTCATGTATGAATGCAATGTAAATTGGCATTTATCACTTGACTGTTGTCAGTAAGGAAATCAATGCATGGTTACTTGAGACAAGCTTTACATTTTGTTTTACGGGAAATCTACCTGGGTGTTTGTACTTTGGTCAAATTTCCTCGTGAACTCTCCATAAGGTTTCTTTGTGGTGATAAATCGAAAAAGGAAGTACATCCTTGTGATCAAAAGACAAACAAAGTACACACTTGTAACGCGTTACTCTAAAGGAATTGTTAATGTGTATGACGAACGACTTAAATGGAGCACAACACGAATGGCCTAATTTTGTTTGATGTTTTGTGTGGGTTCACGGATCACACATGGTTGAATCTTTACTTTTAAACTTCCTTTTCAATTTCCTTTTGCCTTAATGTGTGTTAAAAGTGATTATTATTTTTTGAGAAAAGAAAAAGAAATTCTGACATCGAACTGCAATTATATGCAGTGACAGTGAGTAGCCTAGGCCTTTGTGGCAGAACGTGGTTTTTTTCATCGTTTGCAACGATCAGTCATATAAATTTTGACACCCTTTCTATGGATATTTGCAGACGATTCTTGCTTTTGCGATGGTCTTTGCGCATCCCATTTTGGTGTGTACTTTTTGGGATTATTGTTTTCTTATTGAAATTTTATTAAAATTATAAATAGTATACACTGCTAATTTTTTATCGGAATGCACGTCATTTTTCTTGAATCCTGTCACCTGTCACTTTTCTCAATTCAATAGTTGTGTCCACTTTCATGAAATTCTTTATGAAACCATTTTAAATTACCTTCAACTTGTAAACAAAAAGGCGAGGTAATTGTGAAAATGAAGGAACATGACATATTTTGAATTCCTATGTTTGTATATCACAAAGGACTGTCTGTGGACGAATTCGACTAACCAGTGTCACGTAGGTGGAAGCTTTGAATGTCACAACTTACGGTTATAATACAAATGGTCAGTTATAATTGAATTGTGGTGGTGTGCAGTCACCTGCTGTATATTTACATTATCTGCAGACTTTTTGTCTGCAGACATTTAAATGGGTGCACTTGCTGAATCTAGCCTCCAACAGTACTTATGTCGCTCTCACTGACACTATGTGCATTCGGTAAACGTAGCCCTCGATCGTACATCCTCGACACTTTGACATTAAGAACCACTTTCGGCTCGAGAGCGTGGTCTGTGAAGTAAAACTCGAATTGAATGCAGAACACACAGAGAGACGGGGGACCATGCTGTTCTAGTTAAGGCGATGTGACCTTGCGAAATACCTATCACTCAAGTCGAAAATCGGAGAAATCAATAAAGATATAAAATAAGACAATAAACCACTTTGTTTTCCCTTTGTAATGAAAAGAAAACCTACAGACCAAACGACAAAGGACTCATATTCCTATAAGTCCTATATAAGGCCTAAGGTAAAAGTCACGCTCAAGAACAAGCATGTTTCATTGGGGCGGTTTCAATTAATTTTTCACTCGTTTATCCTCATAGATCTGACCTAAACGCAGATGCAGAATATTTAAGTGGGGAGGAATGCTCGAGCACATTCAGCCCGAGTGCTGTAACTTTTCAAACAAAAGAATGGCCATTATTTCGTGTGCGGTATTTGCTTTGTTACACGGGCACACTGGGAACAAATACCCTCGAATTCAAGAACAAAAAATAAAAATTTCTTATACTCCTTAGGTTGTGCATAAAATCATATTAAAATCAGAGGATTTAACCTGGGTTGGATTAATCTACACTGTGGTACTCTACATCGGTGTGATTGCATTTGACCTATCATAAAATCAGATATTAAAATTCGTCCTCAACAGTATTGTTCCATGTGAATGACCATCAGCATTTCAAGCTTTTGATAAACGTAAATGGGCCCAGGCATGTGACCTTGCGAAATACCGATCACATAAGTCCAAAAGCGGAGAAATCAATAAAGATATAAAATAAGACAATAAACCACTTTGTTTTCCCTTTGTAATGAAAAGAAAACCTACAGACCAAACGACAAAGGACTCATATTCCTATAAGTCCTATATAAGGCCTAAGGTAAAAGTCACGCTCAAGAACAAGCATGTTTCATTGGGGCGGTTTCAATTAATTTTTCACTCGTTTATCCTCATAGATCTGACCTAAACGCAGATGCAGAATATTTAAGTGGGGAGGAATGCTCGAGCACATTCAGCCCGAGTGCTGTAACTTTTCAAACAAAAGAATGGCCATTATTTCGTGTGCGGTATTTGCTTTGTTACACGGGCACACTGGGAACAAATACCCTCGAATTCAAGAACAAAAAATAAAAATTTCTTATACTCCCTAGGTTGTGCATAAAATCATATTAAAATCAGAGGATTTAGCCTGGGTTGGATTAATCTACACTGTGGTACTCTACATCGGTGTGTCCACGCCAGCATATTGGAGTGATTACTTAACCAGGTAGGCTAGGCCTATATAAAGCCAGTATCAATTTTCAGAACTGTATATTGTTCTGTCGGAGTCCGTCTGCCTGGAGCCCGCCAAACCTTGTCGGTTGGTTTGTTTGTTTTGTATCATCTCAGTGGACTTGTTAAAGGTCAGTTCAGGGGCCAACATGTTAACAGGTCATGTCCATGATTTCCCTAAAATGAGTTTCATCAGTAGCGCAGCCCGAGTCCGGCGAAGAGGACTTGCTCGGAAAGTAATTTCGACAAACTGAGGTGACGATTGGAGCAGGCATTATTATGCATGTATCGCATAATGTCTTTAGCGTCGAGTCCAGTTTAAGTGGTTCTGTCGTTGAATTAATGTTTAAAGTACTGTATGGTGAGCATGTCTCATCCTTCCAACAGCTTGCACTTTCAACTTTGTTGCAAGAATTGAGACAGTAGGGTTATTGGCCTCTTTTACGTAAGTCATTCGAGGACAATAATGACATCATTCATTGTAGAATTCCTTCTGAAGGTCGCATTTCCACAAAACAACTACGGACCACGACATCGACACAACGACTACGACATAATGCAGCCATTTCT